TTCATTGTTTTTTAAGAGATGTGTTCCCTTTACTTGCACTTCCTGAAAGAACCATATGTACAAAATACTTTTCATGTTCCAGCAATATGTTTTTACTTCTACAACCTCTTACTATGGAATACCACATACAGGGAATATTTAACTTTTCGAGAATGCACCAAAAATATGCTGTGACTATGCTAGCTATTTGTCCTGCCCTTTCTCACGTTAACAAATGATCTATTTTTTTATTTTAAATAAACAATGTAGAACTCAGAGTTTTTTCCATCTTTTTATGACTTTTTTCTGATTTTAACATGGTACCAAAGTACTGTTTTGCCCAAGAAAGAGCACATATAGAGCTGCTTCTAATTAAAACTGAATATACTGCCAAAGCTTTAGGTCATTTCATTTGGAGGGACAAATACAGGAAAAGTGCTATCTTTTAGTGTGAAAATTAACGTGGTTTCCATATTAAGAGAGTTTCCAAAGAGATGCAATCAGTCTGTATTTATAAAAGGGCACTTAGTTATATTTGAACAATTAACTGAAATGTAATCATATGTAAGAATATTTTTTACTCAGGATAGTAGTTTTTATGAATTTTATACCATATGTTTTTTGATGTATGAAGTACCTGGGTTCAGATTTACATGCATATGCAAATACAGAAATCAACATCTTTAAACTAACAGGCAGTGTGTTATAATAACAATTATGCAGATGTTATCATCACCATCAGAACTGAGGTATGTGTTTCCTGTGGTATTGTGGTATTCACATTGTAATGCTTCATGGGCAGTGTAGAACAGTTGTTATATATTATAAAGGTGATTCTGCCCCTCAACTCTGCTCTCGTGAAACCCCACTTGAAGTATTGCATCCAGTTCTGGGGCCTCCAACTCAAGAAGGATATGGCACTCTTGGAGCAGGTCCAGAGGAGAGCCACAGAGATGATCAGAGGGCTGAAGCGTCTCCTCTATGAGGACAAGCTGAGAGAGCTGGGGGCTCTCCAGCCTGGAAAAGAGAATGCTCTGAAGAGACCTTATAATGGCCTAACAGTCCCTGAAGAGGGCCTACAGGAAAGCTGGGAAAGGACTTTTTGTATGTAGCAACAGGACAACGGGAAAAGGTTTTAAACTGTAAGAGGGTAGGTTTAGACTAGATATTAGGAAGAAATTTTTTACTGTGAGGGTGATGAGACAGTGGAACAGGTTGCCTAGAGAGGTTGTGGATGCCCCCTCCCTGAAAGCATTCAAGGCCAGGCTGGATGAGAGTTTGAGCAACCTGATCTGTGAGAGGTGTCCCATCCAACCTAAAACATTCTATGAGTCTATAAATTAAGTGAGGCTTTTCTTAAGAAATCTGTCTTGAATCCTTTTACATCTTAAAAGATGCTTTAAAATTAAAAAAAAAAAAAAAAAAAAAAGACCGGTTGTTCAGACTACTTAAATCCTGAGAATCAAAAGAATTTAATTTAGACCTATTGTTCCTGCAGGTGTAAAAAAGCAAAGCAACTTAATTTTGTCATGTCTGCATCTTTTAATATCTAAATGTTTTTTAAACACTTGTGTAGTGAAATAAGAACTAGTTACTGGCATTTTTCTTGGATAGTTGTTGCACAGTGAAAAATATTTGTGAGTTCTTGAAGTGTTAAAATATTGCATTGCTGAATCCAGAAGACTGATAATGATCATCTCTAAAGTCCCATTTTGCTCATTTTCATGCACATTTTTTTTTTAATCTGCATGAACTGAACTTCTGAGTCTTCAGAAATGAGTACAGTAGCTTGTTTGCAGGGTTTTCCCTTGCTTAGAAATGGTGCAAGCATATTTTGGATACCTTTAAAGTAGGCTGATGACGGTTGTGTTATGTGTACTGGTAACATCACGTAAAGGAGAAGTATGCTGTTCTCATTTTGATGCAGGACAGTCTGAGGAAACTACTGATATTTACTGTAGGAAAGCACGATTGCTGTATTCAATTTCTTTTTGCTATCTTAGAGGGTGTTCTTCCTTCAGAGGTAGCGATCCAGTTGTCTTTGTATGTTTCTTTTCTCTTGCATTAACAAAAAGAAATGTGAAGTAGAAAGTCCTTGCAGAAAGAAGGTGTTACTTAATGCAACCTAAGTTTTGTTTTGTCACCAGCTCTGATGGCTTTCAGAATTAAAAGTTAAAGTGTTTCTGAGACAACCAGGAGATTTAAGTGTACAGTTTCATGGTAGGCAATATAGCAAAACTCAGTCCAGTATTATTTATGCAGTAATGTCTGACTGTTATCTGACTGGAATTACTTCTATGGTGTTCTTTAAACAGAATCCCTCTATTGCAGCTCTACATAAAGGCTGGCAGCACTGTATGCTCCTGGAAGCATGGAACTACAGGGGAAAAAAAAAAGAAGCTAATTCCAGACATTTTGGCCCAGAACACAATGTTAAATACCTAATCCTCAGTAGTGTGGAACATAACTTCATATTGGTCCTCCTGCCAACGTTGATGATGAGGTTCTCTTATTCTAGAAACTAATTTTGTTTGACTAAGTCATTTCTCTTTTAGTTGACTGTGTAGGTGTTTTTTGACACTGGTTTGTGCTTCTACCACCCACATCAGTACTATAGTAAGGTAGCTTATTTTTTAACCTCTCTAAAATCCATTGATAGGTCTGTTCTGGGAACTAAATTATATTCTAACCTCTTGCTTCCATCATCTTTACCTTAGTTATTTTTACTTGATTGGTGATCTTGCTTTGGGAAGCAGTAGCATACTCAAAGGTTTTCCCATTTATTTACTACTGTCATCTTGCATGCATTTTATTTGCGTTAAACTTGGCATGTGGTCAATGTGAGGGTGACATTTAACATTTTATTATTTGTTGTGGCTTTCACAAATGTTGGGCTTTTAGTTTTCTCATCTGGCACTTTGACTTATCACTTTTCTATAGCTTTTAACTTTGGGACGAGATGGATTTGTCTAGTTTTTATATCTGTGCAATTCTTAAGTGCAGGGATTTCTTTCATGGTGTTCCAAAATGGTCTGTTCTGTTTATTTATTTCTGTATTTTCTATCTGATACTGGAGGAATACAGTCTAGATCATCACTGAACTAACTGCTTAGTGTCTTTGAAGTATCATGTCAATGTTAAATACCACTTCTCATAGCATTCCAGTCCGTAACTGAAGTCATATTTTCATCCACCGTGAGTAAAGCAGCAGGACGTATTTTTAAAGTAAAAGAGGGGAGATTTATGTTAGATGCAAGGAAGTAATGCCACCACTGGAGGGAAGCTGTGGCTACTTCATCCTTGGAGGTGCACAAGGTCATGTTGGATTGGGCCTTGAACAGTCTGGTGTGTTGGAACTAGGTGGGCTTTAAGGTCCTTCCCAGGCCAAGCCTTTCTGTGATGCTATGACACGCAACAAACTGCTGTTGTAGATTGCATGCTGAAAGTAGGAGAATGAAGGATTGTATCCAGCCTCGGTCCAATAACAAAACAAGGAGTAAATGTTCTTGGAGGCCGAATACTTCGTATTAATAAACATGTCTAGAAAAAAAACAGACAAAAAGAAAATAAGTGTGTACTTAAGCATACATGTAAAATAACTGTCTCTTTTAGAAATGCTTTTCTATCTCTTTAATTCAGTTTCTTCATTTCTTTTATACTTCTTCATATTGCATGCAGTGGCTTTTTGTGACTATAGCTGCAAATCTTCCGTTTCCAAAGACCACAGCTGCACTGTAGGTATCTTCAGCAGATTAAGTCCCTGTTGAAACCAGCCATACTCTTCGTTGATTGTTTTTTTTGTTTTGTTTTTATTTTTAAACACAGAATTTTGATCTTCTCAAAAAAAGAATGTGGATTTCTATTGCTGCAGTTCTTAGTAACCTTAAAATCTCTTCATTTATTTTGAGAATAATTAATCTTGTTATTTACTTTGAACTATGTAATGCGTTTAGCCATTTCATTCTGAACACTGTATGCATGCTAGTACTTTCAAAGTAATTAGATATTGAATCCATTGGTCCTTTTCTCATAAGCTGATTATGGATCTTCTTCCTTAAAGTAAAGAAATAGTGATAAATAATAAATAGTAATTGGATTCCTTTTCTTGAAGCCCACAATTGCAGGGAAACAAAGTTTTAAGAGAGCTGCAAAGAGAGGCAGCACAAAGCGTGTGCTTCTCTAAGGCCTTACAGAAGCTTTTAAGCTAGACATTCTGTAGATCCATGGTGGTCATCTGCTTACAAATTGATTTTGTTTTTATTTTATCTGAGACTTCAAGGACGTTGTTTATAACTGCATCCATAATGCGTGAAAATAGCTAGCAAATACACTGGGTCAGATCAAGAAGTTGCTTTAGGGGGAAGAAAAGTAAAATTGACGCTTAAGGATATCTGACGCTTCAGAATGGATTTCAGATTTGACTCGGTGCAACTAATGAACATTACTGCCTTTATAAGGGCTTAACATCCATTTTTATTAGTACTGAAAATGATTTATTTTCCCTTTCTTTTATCATTTCCTTCCTTTAGTTTTGTTATTACTTGGCCTTGCTGCTTCTGCGGTGGCATGTGTCCGTGATCAGCCTCTGCATTTCCCTTCCTATGCCACCCCAATCAGCTCAAGCAGAAGTTTGACTTTCACTCTATTCTCTGAGAAAGTTACAGCACTTAGCTGGGGTCAGCTAACACATGCTGACTGATTCTGGCCCAGCCTCTATTTCTCATTCTAAATTGGGCAAAACCAAGCTACCAAATTATTCAGTCTTCCTCAAGCTAAAATCCCAGTGAGGCCAACTAAGCCTTGAAAATGTGTGTGAGGTTGCAGCACTTTGCTCTTGAATCACATCTGTTGTATAAAGGTGTTTTGCTAATTAGGAAGAAAGAAATCCAAAGTGTAGTTGTGTATTTACCCAAAGCTTTGGTGCAGGCTCTGTGTTCTTTGCATTCTGATGTTTATCCCGAGCCCGTGGGCTCGTTTTGCTGCAACTGACTTATATTTTTCTTTCTCTTTTTCCAACACAGACTGGCAGATAGCTACTCTTGCTCTGCTGTTGGGTGGTGCTGCCATCATTCTCATAGCTTTCCTGGTTGGCCTGATCTCTATCTGTGTGGGATCTCGGAGGCGATTCTACAGACCAGTTGCAGTCATGCTCTTTGCTGCAGGTAAGCAGTTTACCAGCACTATAATGAAAATTCCATGAGGGCAGGGCAGTTTACTTTTGCAGAAGATGATGTTCCTGATTCTGTATACGGATTCAGAGGAACTTGGTTTACTTCTTTAAGTCCTGTGGAGTTTTTGAGGATACTATTTCTGCAAGGTATCAATCAGTTTTGCAATTGCACTATCTCAAAGTTCAGAAACATTTATTGGCATTTTATTGGCATTTTATTTTGTGTCTGGTGAATACATGCAGCAGGGAAAACTATGGCGGGCAAACCCATTTAAGTGCCATTTTTAGTCTATGACTTTGTGCAGCTGCATGGCCCCAGTCTTATTCTTCATCCAAAGCCTTTCCTGGTATTTTAGCATTCTTTTACAAATTTGAAGTGGAAAAACAACTGCTTGGGTGTGAATTCTTAAAGACCTTAATGTGAAAATAAATATGTTGCAAGGTGTTTATATATGCCCCTGTATCGCTGGAGGAGTTTATTTAATTGTCATTTTGTTTCCTTAGTTGTTAATTTAACAAACTGTCACCCTGTGGTCCCTGTTTGGCTTTTAAGAGCATCACGATGGAACTATCTAGACTGTTGCAAAATCTTCAGGGAGACTTATACATCCGAATTGTCTGTGACACTGTTCTAGTGAGGTATAATTACAATATCAAATCATCTCCTTTCATAGTTTCTGGTGTTGTAGGGCTTAGGCAGCACGGATGTTTCTATTTCTCCCGAGATTCACCAGGAAAGGTGTGCCTTCATCCTGTCGCTCACATCCGCATTGGAGCTAGCAGCTTAAGCCCCTTTTGATAGCCTATAATGAAGGGATTGACAAAACCTAGTCTTCAGGACGTATTTGAAAAAGCCACTTACAAGGATATGAAAAAATAAAAACTTGGCATGTGAAGGGCATTCAGGAATGAAAGGAAGCTCTCGGGAAGGCTCCTGCTGCCCCCTGCTGTTTTTCTTAGTTTGACTGAACCACAGCATTTTGAGATGCACTTTTATTTGTTCAAGGAATATAAGTAGGTTATGTTTTATTCACTTTGAGAGAAAGAGCACAAACTAGGATCAGATTCTCTGAACAGAAATTGCATTTTTTGTTCTGTTTGTTGCATTGCTGAGCTGGTTGAATAAATAAAGGCACTAGTGCCATTACTTTCAAAAATTAACGTTACTTTTGACATTATAAAGCATGTTGGGTATGTAACTTAAGGAAATGGGATTCTTGAATTTATGTAGGTGTTTCTTATTTGGTTTTTTATTTGTCATAACAATGTGTAGTAATTTAGTAATTGTTCAGGTATGCACCAATCTTGCCATATCGCTCAGTTAGTGAGTGGTTGGTACTGGGAGGAACTGGAGGGGGAGAAGAGCGAAGAAAGTCTTAGTATTTGGCTTATAGCTTAATTTTTACTCCAGTGCATACAATTATTTCTAGTCTATTAAAAATGTTATGGAAAGGCAGAGATCTAGAGTCCTAGAATATCCCAAGTTAGAAGGGACCCATGAGGACCATCAAGTCCAAGTCCTGGCTCCATAAAGGACCACCCAAAATCCAAACCCTGTGTCTTAGAGTGTTGTCCAGATGGTCCTTGAACTCCAACACTTGGGGCTGCAACCACTGCCCTGGGTAGCCTGCTGCAGGGTCTGACAACCTGCTAAAAAACCTTTTCCAAATCTCCTACCTGATACAGCTCCTACCTCTGGTCACCAGAGAAACTGGTGCATGCTTGCATTAGAAAAGAAAATGTGTAATGCTGTAGCTCACAAGTTGTGTTCATCTCTTTTTTTGCCTTTTTGTATATTTACACGTGCGTGCATATTAAATTGTTATGTCCTCAAGTCTGTTAGAGGAAGAAAGATCATGAGATTAAGACAGCCTGTTTCATTCTTCTTCATTATCTGGCAAATCTAAGATGAATTATGTGGGGATTTGGTGCTGACATTGCTGCTGTTCATTTTCTATGGGTTTTATCTTTGTTTTGAGATACTTTTAGAGATGAATATGGACTGACGTGTCTTGAAAGAATCAGGAGGATAGTCCACTGCTGAAGTTAAAGTCAAGGTTGCAGCACAGTAGTTGTGCCTTATGCAGCTGTCTGTAGGTTCAAGCCTCTACCCATGTTTTTTATAGAACATCTGTGAAGGTAGAAAAAACTGTTCTGTGAACTTACTGACAACACAAAATATTTTGTATGGCTGATTAAGAACTCATCTCTCTGCATGCTTCTACTGGTGCCTGGTAGGAGGACGCTGTCTGGAGATATTAATGGCATTTGTGGAAAAGAACAGAAGTGGCCTCCAGTCATTTTAGAATCCAAGCAGTTCACTATAGACATTTTTCTTCTAGTTTTAGTGTATCTTTTTAAAATTTTGTTTTTATCTTAGTTTCAGATTTTATTTAGTGACTTTGTAGGTGAGGAAGACAAGTGAGTTACCAGAGCTGGAAGAGATGATGATGATAAAGCCAAGATACTGAGAATAAGTCAGCAAATAATCAACAGAAGTGTACGTTTAAACCATGCACTATCAGCTCTCTGTAACTGGGAGAGGAACAGGAATACTTCAAGTTATGGAAAAATGTGGAGCAAACAGAGGCAGAGTTGCAGGACAGTTCTGCATGGCACTACCTTGGGTCCAGTGGGGTTTGTAGACATTATCTCACTGCTAGCTGTTATTATCTTATGGTGGCTTGTGTCAGTGTGCTGTGTGAAGAACAGAAATCAGTCTTAGTTGAGCTTGGCAGTCCTCATATAGCCCCTTTTTTTTGTTTAGTGGGGACTGAACTAGATTACATACTTGCTGGGGTATCGAAGTGCTCCTGATTTAAACTGTCCCTGAGAGCTGCATTCTCAACGTACTGTGTCCAGTCTCTTAAACATGTCAGTGTAGGGAGTCTCATGATATGGTTACCAAATGAATGCTAACAGAGTCAAAGTTTAGGAATAGAAAGAAAGCATATAATTGTTGAGAGTCCTTAAAAGCAACTAAAAAAGGAAACTTAAAAGGTGTTTGTGTTCAAGGGCTATATTTTAACGGTGCTTTTTGAAAAGCTGCAGAGCTTGTGTTCTCTCTGTCTTAATAATTTCCTTCCTTCTCAGCCCATTATGACCCAACTTTGACTGACTGGGAGGTAATGAAATTTCATACGGGTGACTTAAGTCAAAACAATTTCATTACCTTGTATGATTAGGTCTTAGAAGAAGAACCTTTGGGGTCAATAAGCTTTTAACACGTTTCACTGGGTGTTCTTATGTGTAAACTGAAAGTATGGGTGAGGGAGTAAAAGAATGATAAGCAGATAATATTTGGAAAACACTTAAAGAACATGTTTTTACATTCTGACAGGAAATGAGAGCACAATTCTGATTGATTAACCCTTGAGTTCTGTGCTGTTATTTATATTTAAAATACTGTGAAACATAGAATAAAAGTATACTTGCTAAGCTTACTCTTACAGTGAAGCTACGAAAACTGCAGTTATACTGGGGGGCAGAATTTGATTGTGAAGTGGCAGAGTGCTCTGAACAATTAAGGTGAAGGAAGTAGTTAAGTTGCTGCAAGAAGGCAGAAAGAATGACAGCATCAAAGAAATAAGTTGGCAGGATACTCTAGGTCATCTGGCCCAACCTCATTGTTGAAGCAGAACAATCACTAACATTTGATCTGTTAACTTTGCTTTATCTTGATCGGTCTTGAAGAACTCAAAGAATAAGATTGTGTAACCCCTTCAAGTACGCTGTCCTAGTGTCACATTCGCCTCCACATGGTTTTGAGGATTTTTTTCCTGATATCCATCCTGAATGTCTGAAACTGAGTTTTGTGTCTGTTGCCAATATCTTGGGTTTCCTGGCACTACAAAAAGTTTTGTTCCTATATCTTTGCAGCTGCATTTCAGGGTAGATGTAGGCTGCTGTGAAATTGTTCCTTTGTCTCCTCTTCATGTATCAAAATAAAATTAGTGCCTTCATCTTCCTCCTAAGGATGATTTGCTGCAGGCTTCAATCATTTTGTCAGGTTTCTGAACCCTTGCTCTTGGCTGGTGAATTCATGCTGACTACAGATTGCCTTCTTGTTCTGCCAGTGCTAGGAGGTACATTCCATGTTTCCAAGGTTTGAAGTGAGGCTGACCAGCCTATAATTCTGTGAATTTTTTATTGCTAATCAATTTGAAACACAGGCACAACTTCAACCTTTTTTTCCAGTCACTGGGAATATCTCTGAATCGCTGTTGAGTTTTGTATAGATGAGAGAATCTTCACAATTGCATTGACCATCTCTTTCATCACACTTGTGTCGGTCCCATCCATCCACATAAACAGGTAACTGCTGAGTGTCCTAATTCTTCCCAAATCTTTCACAAGCCTTGGAGATCTTGGGGAATGTTTCATGTTTTTACCATCTGTCATTAGACTGGCTTTTCTTCCCATCATTAGACAAATATGTTCAGAACTTCATTTTGCAATTAATGCACCTGTGGAAATATTCTTTATTTTTTTTGCTATTTCCCAGGTTTATGTTGAGCTCCAGCTGGGCTTCAGCCTTCCTGGTTTTGTATCTGTGCATCAAAACTGTGCTTTTATATTTCCCACTCATTGTCAATCTTTGTTTCCTGCTCTTGTATGCTCCTTTCTTGTATGTTCATTGAAAACCTCCTTGCTTGGGCAGCTGGACCTCCTGATGAAATTCTTCATCTTCCTGTGTAGTAGGGTGGCCTGTTCTAAGCTAGCACTATTTTAAAAATCAGCATGAATCACCCCTCCCTTTCTTTTCATGCTCCTTCCCAATTAATTGTACAGAATTTTATTAAGTACAAAAAATTCCTGTACAGTATTTTCATCTTTTAATCCTCGAAAATGCAGCACCCATTGTTTTTTAATAAAGCATATGTGAATGAAAGAATGGTCAAGAGTAGTGGAGAAATACCCAAGTTTCTTACTAATGCCACGGGTTTTCAAAGTAGAGACTAATTGAAAAGCTGCTTTATAAGCAAGTCTGTTAAACATTTTAACAAAGGAAAACAATATACTTTCCTAGTTTTAAATGATTTGTTGTGTTTTTTAGGTATGTTTAATATGATGAGTGTGTATGCTTCATGTAAATAGAGTAAAGCTTATTCTTGTTCCTGTGAGATTCCCTTGCAATTATCATTACTCTAGCCATAAAAATGGGTCTAAACTTGAAATGAATAGTCTGTTCAAAAAAGAACAGTCATCTTAAGCTAGAGTTTTAAAATGAATCTTTTTCTTTAAGATTTCTTTTGCAGCTTTTTTTTCTACAGGAAAGAACCAATGTTTCTCAAGAAGTGTAATACCTATAGTTTCCATAGGAAACAGGTCAGTGTAGCATGGAGTCCATTTAAATTCACTGAAAGCAGACCAGCAGTTGCAAGTGTTTACTTTAACATCTTTTTTGATCATACAGGCCATTTTTCATAACTTACTATCTTCTTGTGGTTGTTTTCCACTTTATAGGGAGTATCAATGATAGGACACTAAATTAGTGCAAAGCTATGTTATACAGTGTGGTTGTTTCTGCCTACCTGTTGTTACCAACACTTTACATTTTTTCATGACTGTAGATGAACTAACAGTAGCAAAAGCAGGAAACCTCACCAAAAATGTCAGAACTACCTGTCGTAGCTGTTGTTCCTTAAGTCACATGTTCTTTTACTGGAACCACTCTTTTGCTTTGTTTTGATGAGTCCAGTCCATAGAATAAAATTCCATATGCTTCCCATATTAAATTGAGGAAAAATAGAGAGTTTCCTTGGTTGAAACTTGATAGATACATGCACACTGAGGGCAGTTTCTATATTGACCCAGCAAGGGTGCTGCAGCCCTAGTTCAGGAGGCCATTAATGAACTTATACCCATTTGTCTAAGGAAATCCTCTTTGTCTTTGAGTGGTCTTAAAGATGCGTCCAAAAGTGAACATATGTTGAGGTGTTTTGGGGTGTGATGATGCTCTCGTTATACAGAATTATATATTCTAATCTTTTCATAAGAGTAGGAGCTTTCTCTGGTATGCGCTGTCAAAAGTTCTCCAGTGTTGCACAATATTCTGTGATCTGGCAAGCAAAAATTACATTAAAAAGAAATAACACAAAATAACACTTCAGTAACTCTGGGATTAAAAAAAAAAAATCCTGTGGATTTTGGTACCCACTTCAGAAAAACCTCTATCCAAACATTGTTCAGTTTGTCAGTCCCAAGGAAGAGTCCAAAGACTAGTCTGTAAGCTAACTGGCTGCTAGGCAGGGATGAGTTTCCAGTGTGTGTTTTAGACAGTGTTATCAGTGTATGTAATCAGTACTAAAAGTCCTATCCCCCTTGCAGTCCCCATCCTGAGGATAGGAGAGCATTAGTCTCCAGGTGCATAATGGATGGTGACAGTTCGACAGCACTAAATAGGGCATGTGGGAATTAAAAGGAAAATGATGGTTTTCAGGTGTTTTCAACCAACAGGAGAATATAATTAACATCATTTTCCTGCAGTTTCTCTGTGTAACTTCAAAAGGGCTTCTGTAGGCCCTAGTGGTCTTATTCTTTGCTGTCCACTGGCTTTATAAAAATTCTATAAAGAGTGATTGTTCTTTGTAAAATACCTTGTAAACTCTTGAAAAAAAAAAAAAGTCCCTAATCAATGTTAATATTGTCGTTAGATCATTATGTTACACACTACTGAACTTTCATTAGAATGCATCCCAGGCCTGCAAATGCTTAAGCATGTGCTCTGCTTTGTGGGTGTGCTCACCCTGAGTGCATCAGAGGGATGGCAGTCTGTAGGGGAAGTCGTGTGCTGAAGTCTTTATAATTTTGTTGTGTTAAATGCTGGAAGGGAGCCAGATCTTGAATTTGAAGGTTAAAAAAAGTTTTTATATGTTCCTGTGATGGTTAGCCGTTTGTAGATGGCTGAACTAGAAGCCTGGAGAATCACTAAATCATGTATCTTGTTCTCGTACTTCAAAATAAGTATAATTTTCAGCTGCTTACTCTGGAGACTGCTGTCCCATTTATGCTGTCAGCAGTATGCCTGACTTTAAAAGAGAATGGATGCCAATGAAACTGAATTCTTTGTATGAAAATTAGGGTTCTTCATCTGCATTTTCCTTTTCAGGTTACTTTGTGCTATTTTGATGTAACACAATAGCCAAGTGTGCTGAATTTCTCTGCAGATGTGTGGATCAACTTGCATGAAATCTGGCACTTGGAGACAGTGCTGTGGAAACTAATGGTTTTTAAACTTTTTCATGCCTTGGATTTGATCTGTTTTGTTAACTTTTTTCAGCATGAAACATCTCTGACCCACCCTCTAAATTTATAATACAAGGAAATGCTTTGCAAGTGGAAAGTTTAGTGATTGATCAAACTTTATGGATTCCTTGGTATTCTGTGCAGTAATATCATTAATTCTGATTACACTACATGGTAATGCATGTGAAATAGGTAATTTGGTGAGCCTCCACTGAACATAAATATGGATCACCTACTGCAATTAATTACTGTTAGGTTAAGTAAATGATTTGATTCTGAGCTTTATTTCTTAATATTCATTTATTCTTGCTTCTCATTGTTTTGACTTGGTTTTAATAGGCATGGAACAAGAGATCTTAGGTTTGTTGCTACAGAAGGAATAATGTCTCCAGACCAAAATACAATGAGGAGAGACAGAAAAGAATTGGAAAAAGATTGCTTTCACTATTTATTAAGGATTGTTTTTATATCGTAACAATAACATTTTTTCATCATCAGAAGAATATGCAAGAACTGCTCTGTTCTTCGGATGAAGTAAATGTTTGCATATGTGATGTATATGAATATTATATATAAGCATACGTGTGTGTGTGTATGCACATATGTGTAGGCAGTACTTACTAGACAAAACTGCACCAAGGGCATTTGGAAATGTGAATTTTGGTTTTGTGGTGGTTTATGGAAATGTATTAAGGCCTCTTCTGACATCTGATTTGTTTCTCTTTCAGTTGTTCTTCAGGTGTGCAGCTTAGTCCTCTACCCAATCAAGTTCATCGAAACAGTCAGCTTGAAAATATATCATGAGTTCAACTGGGGCTATGGCCTGGCTTGGGGTGCAACTATATTTTCATTTGGGGGTGCCATTCTTTATTGTCTGAACCCTAAGAACTATGAAGACTATTACTAGAATCATTTAATGAAAAGAAAAATACCAGAAGGATTACCCCCATCTTTTCTAACTCACTGTTTTTTTAGAACACTTGTGGAGCACCAGTCTGCTCTGTTGATAAAATAGCCTTTGCCTTTTGGGTGTGAACACTGTAACCAGCTTTTACAACCATTTAGAAGAACTGCAAACACTAGGATTGCTGGTCTTACGTAGGCAGATGCTGCAAGCTGCTGATACATAAGCTTTGTTTTTCCTGACAACAAGCAAAGGATCTACATGACAGCGATCATTGTGAGAAATTTAGTTGGAATGTGAAGCAAGGCCAGCATCTGCTATTGCCTTCAGGGGAGCAGGTGGTGTAGGCTCCATTTAGAAGTTTCCCTGTATCATAGAGGATTCAAATGTCTGATAAGCAGGCAATGGCATCTTGTACAATAGGCTGTGTTGGCCTCTTGTTACTTGCTCAGAAAAGCTCTTAAGGAATTAGTTGCGAGTGACTGTGTCCAGGGCAGTGAATGTAACTGGTTAATGGCTTGTCTAATATCTGCATTCAGCAGTCTTCTGGGAGAAGTAAAACAACTACACAGACAGAGGATTTCATGAATCGACATCACCATGCCAGCTGTAGCAGATTGTTGAAGGAAGTCCAAACCCAGAGACATGTGCTTCTGACTGTGTGGTTGGAAGTTGTCTCGATTCTTGAGTGTTTTGCTGGGGAAGGGGGGGTGGAGATAAGGGGGAGAACAATAAGACCTTATATGTCCCTAAGGCATCTGAAATGCATGAATGAATTGCAGTTTTCCTAAGTACTCATTTAACTTCTGAACAGCATTATGAAAAAATGCGGTTTGATTATATTTTTGGAAGGTATTAGTATAAGTGAGTATATGTAATACATATATAAATGCAGAGGAAGAAGGAGAATTATCTTTAAATTGTAATAGGAGCTGTGGTGCAGTGGTTAAAATACTAATGTTGTACACATTCTTGGGGGTCTTAGACCAGTACCCATGGTCATGATTGGTGTTACAAAATAAACCTAAAATGATTTGTCTTCTGTATATGCCCTTGTAAAAACTCTGTTATGGGAAATGCATAAAGATTCACATCAATCTAAGGTAGAAGTGGATGAAATAACTACTTTCTATTCCATATGTAATTCTGTACTTAATAAAAATTGTAAAAAAAAAAAAAAAAAGGGTGTTACAGGGAGGAAAAACTACCATTTCAAAAATAAATCTAGTTAGATTGCAAGTGTTTTTGATAATCAAGAATATAGCCAAGGCCCAATCACATCCATATTAAAATATTAGCACTGCAGGAGCTAATCTCATGTTTTTAAAGGCTGGGTTTGTAATGGACTGGCTGATGATTGTGTATCTAATTACTCCTTGCTTGGTATGCTTCCCACTTAAACATCCAGAGACTGTACCCACCAAATGGAACCCAAGTTAAAATAGAGAGAACTTCTATGTGAATTTAATCCGCATCACTTTTATTTTTGTTTACAATTTCCTTCTTTTCGTATTTTCAATTAATTATGAACATATTTTTATACAATTCTAATCTTTAGAAATGACTATTTTTTAATGGAGAAATTTAAAGTATATTCTATGTGGGCCTCTGCACACGCAGATATGCTGCTGTTGCTTGTCCACCTCTGCACAAACGGTATAGCTGGTTCCAGGGAAAAGGCTGCTGATTGCCTCAATGTTAAGGATGCGTTTGCAGTGTTAATGTTTATTCTGCAGTGCCCAGAGAGCAGAGGATCTGTAGGTACCGTGCTACCCCAGGACTGCCTCTCAGAAGCTGTTCTCAAAGTGCTGCTGCCGTGCGGAGGTGATTTTTAAGACGCGGTGCCTCTTGGGAGTTAAGTCTTTACTATCCAGCAGAATATTCTGTGTCAGCACTCCTTTCTGAACCAGTGGTGATTAATTAGATTAGGCAGAGCAAAACGATAGCTGCATTTAGGAGGGATTGTATGGCAATGCCTAAGGAAAAAAAAAGATGGGAGGGAAAAATATGTCCACTTATTTTGCAGGCACCAGAGAGCATTCATAACTCTGCTCTTCCTGAGACTGACTTAAGGCGGATAATCAGTGTACAGTAAACTCTGTATCTTTCTGAACAGCTGTGTAGTTGTGCTGTTACTTAGCAGCACAGAGAATATTGTAGATTGGCGTGGGAGTTAGGCTGACGTAGAGAAGCCCACTGTGAGGAGATGGCTGTACCTTTCTAGGAGAGTGGTGTTTTGGTGCCAGCATAGCACAGCACTATGCCTATGCTGGCAGGAAGTTACTGTGCTGAACCCGTATCACATCTTCTAATTTATCAGATAATTTTTTTTAATGTAGAATTTGAGTGAAATCAAATGTCAGCCTTAAGGCACGCATGCTAGCACTCCTAAAGTCACACAGCTCTGAATTTGAATGATGTTCAGGCAAAAAAAACCAAACAAACAAACCTACAAACATGGATGCCTAATAACAAAGTTCTTCATTCATATGTGAGTTGGAGAAGCAGTTTTTCAGTCTCAGCACGTGTATTTCCTCCAGAGCATAATGTTAGCTGTGAGGACGCACCTCTCAAACTCCTCAGGTCCTTTAGCATTTGGGCATCCAGCGTTCAGATTTAGGCACCTATCTTAATCAGCTTGGAAACCTCTCGTTAGCTTATGTTGCTACTTCAATTTTTTCTTTTTTTAGTAAATGCTGCTTTTTAGGGCTGAGTGAAAAGTGGCTACACTGTTACCCTATTTTTTGTTCTAGCCACAAAAAAAAAAAAAACAAAACAACACAACAGCACATGTCTTTGTGTCTCTGTACAACGAATTATTCCTTTTGAATGTTATGCTTGTGTCATGCCATCATTATTTCAGTTGTTTGGCTTTATTTCGCTGACAGGATGGTGTTTTTTTCCCCACACAAATCCATTGTTTATCATCCAAATATATATGAATGAAGATATATAAATATATATATATATAGCGGACTTGCAAGCAGGGCTAGTTATTTGTATTTTTTAGGCTTAAAGTACACCGTCCGGTGCTGACAAGTACCTAGCACCTCTTCTGGACTTCTTGCACAACTTCGGTTAGTTTTTGTAAATTTTAAAAAAACAAATATAGAGAGACCTATGTGTTTGAAATATAAAATGATATATATGGATTAGCATGTACCTGTATATTATTAAACATGCAATGAACTGACTGGTAAGTGAAGTCTAATCTTATGGCTAGCAATGTAATTTATTCAGACTGTATTTTTGTACAGAGCAGTGCACACTAACCTATTGCCTCTGTGTCCTCTATAATGCCTAAAACTGTGCCTAGAAATTTAATTTGTCTTTAAGGGAAAAAAAAAAGGACAACTAAATGCTTCATGTTGTTGATGGTATTGATTTATTTTTTTTTTCTGATGTTGTTCTTTATTTATTTTTGGGAAGTGTATGGTATGTTTATTAAATGAATCCATCAAAATATGGTTCATTTTAAATGGTTATTGTTAACAAGGAAAGACACGTTTATTTTTGTTATCAAAACTTTTAAGTTTGCAGTTTTCATATCATTTCTGCATTTCACACTTTTTGTAGCTTATATGAAGTTATATGTGAAAAAAGTAACTGAAATAAAAAAAAAAATTACACTAATCAAATGTGCCTGTTTTGTTCTAAGTGCAACACTTGTGCAGCTGAGGCTCACCTGGAAGCTCATCTGGATTTTCTGTTGGACTCACAATCAGTCCTACTAAGGGATCTTGTCAAAATCTGTAGGGAGGGAGATGTCAGATCTTGCTTATGTCACCCCTCTACCTTCACAGCCTGTAGAATAGTACAGGGAAGGCATCAATGTGCCCCAGAGCCCGATAATGCCTCTAAAAATGCAATTATTGTAACATCAGGATAAAAACAAATTGTAATGTGATAAATAATGAGACAATGTGTTGAAGTTAGGATCTATACTCAGCACCTTGTTCCAGTGGGGAAATTTATTATGTACGAGTCTCCTTTTTGCATTTCCAGTAACTATTATAACTTTTTTTCTGTTTTGATTCCAGAAGTTTTGCTACTTTTCACGCTGAAAAAATAGATGCTGGTTTTGAACCATTGCAAAGATGGAAGAACTGTGTTTTATATACTAAAGATATGCCATGGTGTTATTTCTGTTGTTCAGAAAAATACTGTCATCCTTGCATCACTGGATTCCGGTCATGTAAGTGGGCAGCAGTGGCAAGAAGGAGCGGTTGGCAGAAAGCAATAGGAAAACTGGAGACAAAAGTCTGTGGCTTTGGTAGTGACTGAGTACCTGCAGGAGGGTGGGGAGCACGAAGTGGAAATCAAGTAATGGCAAAGGAATTCAGAGCAGGGAGGGAGTGGGATGGGTGACAAGGGGTGAGGGGTGGGGTTGTTTGAAGGTTTGTTTCCTTCTGAAATGCAAGTACAATAAGGGAGGAAGTTGACAGGGAACACGAGTGTGCAGCCACTGGAGAGTGAGAGCAGACCAGAGGTGAAAGTGTATTTCTTATGAAAGTGTATTTCTTAAAATCTGCATCAAATAATCATTTTAGTGAGTGTGGCTTTAAGGGAACGTTTTTTCAATGGTTTAATCAGTGCTTGGAGCCCAAACTCAAGGTTATCTACATGCCTACATGTTGATGAAAGATCAGAGAGGCGCACTGGTTTACCAGGGCAAGAAATGAAGTCCAAGGTGACGGTGCCTGATGCTAATGCTGTCTCTCTGAATGCACTTAATGATAGGGTCACTGAACTGGTGTGCCTGTGGTTTACTAAAGTTTTCCCAGCTGACCTGGAAGTCTTAACCTGTCTCGCCATATGTTTGGTATCTGACATAAAAGTAGACCTGTGCTGTGCCACTGAACCAGATGAGGTGCAGCTAGATGTGTCACATGCTACACGCAAAAGAAAATTTGTGAAGAATGGTGTTCAAGCCCAAGTTCATTCCTACCAAAATGCAACTTGAACATGAGTAAGTGATGCTGAAAACTGTAGTGTACAAACTGAGGCAAAAACAGTGGAAGTGATGAAAATGCCCAGTGGGTGTTGCTCAGTGGGTGTTGCTACACTCAAATAACATATTCTTGATTTATGGATTTAAATAAATGTAAAACTCTTTGGAACACTGCAAAAATCTTATTATGAGTTGTTGGTTTTGGTGTTTGCCTATGGGTTGTATGCCTTATTTATTTCTGTGCCTTTAAGGAGTACTTCCCAAGGAGATGCTTGTGTTAAAAGTGTGGGAGTGATGGGGTTTTGGAGATATAAAAGATCGTTCTGCTGTCTTAATGACTTCCTGGCAGTCTTGATGAAAAGTACTTGTAACTTTTCAAACACAGTAGCTTCAAAGAGGCCTTTGAATCATTCAAGTATCTGAAAAAAGCCTGGTGTGTGTATGGAATCTGATATGACAAGCATTACATCCTACAGGAGAGCTAAGTTTCACGATTTTCTATTGTACAGTTAATACTTTCACTATGATGCATTTACTTTGATGGAAGCAGCGTATCCTGGGACAGATGAAGATGATTTTGCATTTCAAGAGTGGGTTTGATTCCGTACTGCGCTGCTCATGCAGATGCTGCATTACTGCCCCACAGCCTGCCCCAGAGAGAGCATAAACATTCAGCACATTTCAGTTGAAGATGCTGAAGAGTGATATGACTGAAACACATGATGTATGAATATTAGGACAGACAGAAGAACTGTTTTGTGTGTGTGAGCATGGTTACTGTAGTGGTACCTACCATATGTGTTATATCACACTGAACAGGCTGTGTAACAGGGCAGCACCTGGTTTACACTGTACTCTGAATGATAGCTAGTCCATTTTTGCACGAAAGGGAGAGAGGGAGCCCGCTGTCCCACTTCAGGATGAGAGAAACCCTGGAGAAGGAAATGCCCTTCCTGTCTACAGAAGAAACAGACCCAGAGCTAAGTTTCAGGGGTGAAAAATGTGACAAGGCTCCCAAAAGATCTGTTCAATTACTGCAGGTTCTCTGGGAGGTGTCAGCCTGCATAGCATGTTTGGAGGTGCCTTTGACCACCATGGTATTTTCTGAGCACCTCTGTGCTGTGCTCTGGCAATGAGGGACGTGGTCAGTGGGCATGGTGATGATGTGCTGGTGGTTGGATAGGTGATCTTGGTGGACTTTTCCAAGCTTTACAATCCTATGGTAACTAAAACCCTGTCCTGAAGGGAGTGAAATGAAATTTAATCTGGGTGGGGCACACTGGGATTTGGGATGGTCCTTAGTCATGCCACAGTTCAGTCTTAGATGCCAAAGTGGCTTCATCTCTTGGTGAATATGAAACTATAACTAAAATATAACAATGCAGCAGGGTACAAAAGAATTTCTGTGGTAGCAGAGAAGCCTTGTTATATAACAGCGATGAGTGGATTCATAAATGCCTTCCTAAATAAGAAGAATATTTTCTGAGTGACTCAGAGCTTCCGTGGCTCTGAATGCTCACCTTCAGCTGCAAGTTTCTGTTATAAGAGCTATCTCGGGAGATGAAACCAGCCATTATCTTAATTCCTTTAATTGAGAACAAGTAATGTTTGGCTTTTTACTAGGATTTTTACAATATTAGTATTATTTAAAGTACCTAAATGTATTCAGGTTGTAAAGCTTTAACTTTTTTGAATAATTTCTTCTGAGCCTCTTAGAAGGTAAGAAAATAAGAAGGCAATGATGAACATTACACTTAGCTTGGAATAATAGGACTGGAGGTGATGTTTTTCAGCAGATAGCTCAGAAATGAAAATGTGTGAGAAAAAGTGAAATGAAGAGCAACTGAAAAATATGCTTCTTATTTCCTACTCAAACTTTTTAAAATTATCCTTTCCCATTTATTCTCTTTAATCTACAAGAAAAGAAACATTTATTTCAGGATCTGTTGGTTACCATCTTTTGAAATAAGAAAGTATGCCTGCTGTAAGGATGTATAAAACTGGTTAGACTAGTATCAAGAATTTCTAATGGAAATGTTTAGAATCCCTAATTTCCAAGGCCTAATTGGAAACAACTAACAGGATTGCATCAATAAAATTTGCTTGAGGGGAAGCTAAAAGGGATTCATGTAATGAATTAAGTCCTATCTGGAGAAAATTATTTTCACTGTGAAAATTTGAGAAGCTTTGCAGCTGCTGGATTAAAAGAAAAACTACTTAATAATTCTGATTTTTTAAACACATTTTTACACAAAAGATCATGCAGGCTGTTTTATAGCAATTTAGCAGAGGAGCAGGCAAAGCTGTTCTGAAACGCTTAAGTGTGAACAGATTGAGCTTCATTTGTTTGAAAACAACTTTTACCTGACTGAAGTGCTATGCCATTATACCTTTACCAAACACCTTGTAATTCTCACACACTTCTTTTTACGGCTGCTTTTAAAACCATGAGTGTGACAACATGGTGGCTTAGGCCTCAGGTTTGAAAAGCGGCCTATTCTCTTGGGAACCATGCAAATCAAGACTGCCCTCAGCTCAAGTCTTTATCTTGGAAAAGCGCCCTCTGTTAATTGGGTTTGATGCTATTTGCAGCTTGCAATTCTTGATTCTACTGACAAAAGCTAACCTCTTCAATATTTTGACTGCTCTGTGGCTGTACAAAAGATGGCTTTTCAGCAGATATAGGAAAAGCGGCTGGGCAGAATTCTCCCTTTCTATATGCAGTTACACTCAAATATGTGTGTGTTTATGGGCTCTCCATGTCAGGGCGGTGTTTAGTCCACCACTGCTGCTATCACAGGACTTTGTTCAACTGTTCTCACACTGTTAAAACAGCTAGAAAGTAATGAATTTCTGATTTTTCCCTACGATGCTTCTATCCAGATTTGTGTGCGTGAAATGTGAGTAGGTAAAGGTGTAACCAACCATCTTGGTGGCAAGTCTCGACGTCTTTACAAAAATGTTGAAATTGGTGAGTGGGCAGCGCTTTGGTGTGTGTGTGTGTGAATGTGAATGTGTATCAGTCAGCAGTATGCAGAGGTCATTCTAAGATGCTGTTCACACTATTAGAGCTAACAGCAGAGAAAGTAGATGATCATCTTAGAAAGAGGAACACAGAGGAAAAAATTAGAACCTTAAAAAAAAAAAAGCATGAAAAATTATTTGTTCATAGAGTACACATCTTTTCCCAAATTTTTCTTTTCATGAAGAAGTTTTCCTTGCTCATGATGAAAAATTAAGCACGTGTGCTGCATTGCAAGCCTTATTTTCTGAGAGACTTGAATAGCTATAGGTTAATTATTTGCATACAATGGAGTTCTTCAAACTTCTGATTCAATTTTGCCTGTTTCTAGAAGGTGAAGCTCCTGAGAATAGCTGCATTAATTC